TCAGCAGACAGCTGTGGCCCTGGCCTGCCCTGCACGTCCCCACCAGCCCCTCCTCCCCTCTGTCACCAGGCAGAGGCCACTCACCGCGCCTCTCCTCTTCGCGCCGGGGACTCTTGGCTGATGGCTGGCCGACGGGGACACCCAGTTCCAGCAGCAGGGGCGCGGGGGAGGGCGAGCCGGGGGCGTCGGGGCTCAGCGCGGAGGCCTGGGCGTCCGGCATCTCAGGGGAGAAGCGGATGAGCGGGGAGGGGGGCGGCTCGACGGGGGACGGCGTGGGCAGCGGGGCGCGGGGCGTTGGCGGGGGCTCCCCGCGCTCGCGGCCCGGCGCCCCCGGGGGCTGCAGGTCGCGGCCGAGGCCCAGCGAGGCGAGCAGGGCGGTGCCGCGCAGCAACGCGCGCTGGATCAGCTTGGGCGTCCCGGAGGAGCTGCCGCGCTCCGCCGGGCCCGGCCGCCGCGGCTCCTCGGGCTCCGGGCTCGGCCGCGGGGGGTTACCTGGTGGCGGGTACACAGGTTAGGCCGACTTCGGGGGGACCCCTCGGCGGCCCTGGAGCAAGGACTGACTTCTGCTCCCCTCTGACAGCTTCCCTGACTGCACTGCTCTGCCAGCCCAACTCCTCCCAGGCCGCCGCGCCTCCCCTAGCAGACACACTTTCTGGCCTTTCAGAAGGGGCGAGGCGAGGCGGGGCGGGGCGGGGCGGGGCAGGGTGGGGTGGGCATCGCAGTCTGAGGAACCAGCAGGAGCAAAGCCTGGGAGGCAACCAGGTGCCCTGGAGCCCAGGGATGGAGGGTGGGCTGGAGGGCAGGCAGGGGATCCACCAGCAAGCAAGCTGAGGCCAGATCGGGCCTCAGTGGCCTCAGTGGATATCCGGAGGGGTCCGGGGACAGGTCTGGGACCCGTGCTCTGTGCCCACCTCCTTCCTGGCTGGGCAGCCCTGGTCTTTCTGCTTGCCTGCCCCCCTCCAGCGGTAGCACACAGGTCAATTCCAATGTACACAACAGCCCTGAGAGGCACGCATCACTGTCCCGATTCCAGAAATGAGGAAGTTGAGGCTCAGAGAGATGAGCTGTTTGCGTCAGGCCTGAGCTGAATGATTTAGGGGCATTATGCTGTCTGATCCTCATGGCCCAGGCTTGGAGAGGTTAAGGTCTCAGCTAAGCCTGAACTGCCCTGGATTTCAGAACATCTGTGTCCTAACCTGTGGGCCTAGGGTTGGCCTGACTCCATTCTAGACCACCTGGGGTGGGCCTGGGGAACCTGTCATTGAGGATGTAGGGCAGTCTGTGATGGCCTCCCACAAACCCCAATTTTGTCAGGTCCTCCTTAGCTCTAGAAGCTGCCATGGCTTTCCACTGCCACTAGAAGAAAGTCTAACCTCCTTGTCTGGGTTTCAAAGCCTTCTCTCTCTTCCTTGGGCCTGCCTGGAGTGGAGCGCTGGGCTGGGTGTCCAGAGGAAGAAATGCAAAGCTGGGAAAAGTGAGCTTCTGCTATGAACCAGGACTTTGCTTGGGGTCCCTGTCCTCAGCCATAACCCTTACCCCATCTTTCTCTTTTTTTTTTTTTGGCCACACCATGCGGTTTGCGGGATCTTAGTTCCCTAACCAGGGACTGAACCTGCGCCCTTGCCAGTGAGAG